CCCCTGAGCACGTGGCCGAGTCCTGCTTTCCCCCCTCCCTCCCAACACTTGGAAGGGGGGGGGAGTGGGAATGCGGCACGCTTGGGGGAGGAGGCGGGGATTTGGGGAGGGGTCCAATAGGGGCAGGGAGGGGGTGGAGTCGGGGCAGGGCTGGGGGCCACGAGCACCCACCATCGCCAATGAAGGTTGGCGCCTGTGGTTGGACATATTCCTGGAAGTTTCATCACGACATAATCTTTCACTAAAGATGAATCTTTATGTCCCAGTGCCCAGTGATGCATTGCTTCGCATCCCAGCAATCCCTGTGCTTCCGTCCACATTTGGTGCCATTTTCAACTGTTTGTGTACTGCGTACCCTACCTCTTCGGGCTGCGGGAATGGATTCTGAACTGTTGACCAGTATGCTGCTTGCTCTGATCAACACATCACGAGTGGCAGTGGAGTTATTCCTTAAACTACAAAGGCAAGAGGTGTGCAACATTGATCTCACCACGCGTACTAGCTATGACACAAGATTGCTTGTGGCATTCACAGAAGTGCTGACCATAGTGGAACACCGCTTCTGGGCTTGGGAAACAAGCACTGAGTGGTGGGATCACATCGTGATGCACATCTGGGATGACAAGCAGTGGCTGCAGAACTTTTGGATGAGGAAAGCCACATTCATGGGACTGTGTGATGAGTTTGCTCCAGCTCTGCAGCGCAAGGACATGAAAATGAGAGCTACTCTGCATTGGAGAAGCACGTGGCGATTACACTGTGGAAGCTGGCTACTCCGGACTGCTACCAATCGGTCGCTAACCAGTTTGGAGTGGGAAAGTAGACTGTTGGACTCGTGTTGACGGAAGTGTGCAGAGCCATTAATCGCATCCTGCTCCGAAAGACCGTGACTCTGGGCAACATGCATGACATTGTGGATGGCTTTGCACAAATGGGCTTCCCTAATTGCAGAGGGGCAATAGATGGCACGCATATTCCAATTCTGGCACCAGACCACCTAGCCACCGAGTACATTAATCACAAGGGGTATTTCTCAATGGTTCTCCAGGCGCTTGTGGATCACTGTGGGCATTTCACAGACATTAATGCAGGCTAGTGCAGAAAGGTGCATGATGCATGCATCTTTTGGAACACTGGCCTGTTCAGGAAGCTGCAACCAGGGACTTTCTTCCCGGACCAGAAGATCATCGTTGGGGAAGTCGAAATGCCCATTGTGATCATGGGAGACCCTGCCTACCCCTTAATGCCGTGGCTTATGAAGCCATACATGGGGCAACTTGACAGCAGCAAGGAGCGGTTCAACAACAAGCTGAGCAAGTGCAGAATGACTGTTGAGTGTGCTTTTGGCTGTTTAAAGGCCCGCTGGCGCTGTCTCTGGGGGAAGATGGACCTGGCCGATGACAATATTCCTGTGCTTATAGCCGTGTGCTGTACTCTCCATAATATTTGTGAAGGGAAGGGTGAAAGCTTCTGTCAGGGCTGTACTGCAAAGGCTCAGCGCCTGGAGGTTGAATTTGAACAGCCAGAGACCAGGGCTATTAGAGGGGTGCAGCGCGGGGCCATAAGGATCAAGGATGCCTTGAGGCAGCGATTTGAAGCTGAAAGCCACTAGTATTTATTGCTATGCTTGGGAGTGCAGTGCTTGTAATGCTAGGAGGTGATTGTGAATGGTGCAGACAATGCAATATGAAGGTTTAATATAATTGTTTGTTGCTTTGCAGGATTCTGTTTCCTGTCAATTAATAGAATAAAGATTGCTTTCAAATCAACACAATTCTTTTATTAAAAAGCAACAACCGGAGGAGAGAATCAAACAAAAAACAACAACAACCCATCAGCAATGAGGGGGATGGGGGAAGGGAAGGTTCCAGGAAGAGGTGGGGTCCCGGGATGGCTAAAGATTTGTGTATGTCCCGGGATCATATCCAACCTTCTCCTTTGAAGTACAATGCAGTGGGTACTGTACTTCAGCAGGGCCAAACTGCAGGGGGACGGGTGTTGAGTGCAGTGGGTAATGGGAGTCTGCAGTGCTGGACTGTGAGGGGGGAGGAGTGGAATGCCGCATGTGTATACTGGAGCCAGGAGGTTGATAAGAGTGTGTTGGCAGTGTCTGGGGGATGCATAGGAAAGAGTTTTGCAACAGCGGCTGTAGGGGAGGGGGGGTGCGGAGCTGCTCAGTTTGCAGAGCTAGTATTGCCTGGAGTGTGTCTGCTTGGCACTCCGTAACGTCTAAGAGCTGCTCCATGGCTTCATTCTGGTGTCGCCGCATTCTCCTTTTGGTCCCTCTTCTTGCTGTCCTGCCACTCCTTCAATTCCTGTTTCTCGGCGGCGGAGTGCATCATAACATCATGCAGAAAGTCCTCCTAAGTTCTTGGCTGCTTTCTAATTCTGCGCACTCAGCTGCCGATAATAAAGAGGGAGGCTAGGCTCCCAAGGTCATCTCTGTGAAGTTTAAAAGCAACATTTTACAGAAGCAGTATTGTTTGCAACACACAGAACACTGGATTCAGTGATTTAAAACACAGCCAGTAGTCACACACCTGTCACTAACTGGCTGACCCCAGGCAAGCACACATGAGCCACAAGACCCCCAAAATGGTGAGCAGCCACGGGGGCCGGGGAAATCACTCTTCCCAGAACCTGCTGTACACTGGGCACGTGGCTCTTGGGGAGAGCCAGCATCTTAGGGCAAGGCTGATAATCATTCCTGTCCCCATATTTTCCACAGGATGTGATCATTATGGAAGATATCTCACTGCTGAGGGTGAGCAGGAAATCAAGGGAGGGTCTGCTCCAAGATTGCGGCTTCCGCCCTGGCCCCTATGTGGCTCGCCTGTGTGCAGCAATGGTCCGCCACCCGTGACGGCAGAGTGGCGTGGGAAAGTTATCGTTAATGGGGCAAGAAACAAAGCAGCTCCACCGAAGAACCTGAAGCAGCGGATTACCTAGTATCTCCATGAGAGTTTCCTGGAGATCTCTTGAGGGAGATTCCTGTGAAGCGAGGGAGTCAATCAATTGCCTGTTTCGCCGCTCAGACTAGGCATGTGGTGGGAGATAAGCCTGCTTTCTGCAACCCTCCTGCCCTCAACAACTCGGTTCAGCGATTCCCAAAATCAAATCCACTTACCAGGGGCCTCCTCTCCTATTTGCGCTTCCCCAGGATCTGACAGCTGTGACTGGCTAGGCTCCTCCAGGGTAGAAAAGAACTCCTGGCTGCATGTATCTCGGACCTCCCAATCATCCTCTGCCTCCTCCTCCCCCTCTTAGATTTCCTCCTCCTGGCTCAGTCCACTTGACTGGCACGCGAGCCACTGAAGTATCCACAGTGGCCTTCGCAGTGGAGGTGGGGTCACCACTGAGTATCGTGTCCAGCTCTTTGTAGAGCCAGCAGCTCGTGGGCGCAGCACGGGAGCGGCAGTTTGCCTCCTGCGCCTTGTGGTAGGCATTCCACAGCTCCTTAACTTTTACCCTACACTGCAGTGTGTCCCAGTCATGGGCCCTTTCTGTCATGCATCGTGAAATCTGTCCATATGTATCATAATTCCAACAGCTGGAGCGCAGCTGGGACTGGACATCCTCCTCTCCCCAAATGCCGATGAGGTCCAGTAGCTCGGCATTGCTCCAAGCGAGGGATCACCTGGTGTGTGGAGCAGGCAGGGCCACCTAGAAAGATGCGCTGAGACCACTGCATGCATCACCAAGCAAACAGGAAGGGGCCTTTCAAAATTCCAAAGGAATGTATGGGGTGGGGCTGACGGTTGGTCACCTGAGGGCAGGGCAGTAGAGTTCAAACCGATGACCAGAGATGTGAGAACAGGCATTGTGGGACACCTCCCAGAGGCCAATCACAGCACTGTAATCGCCAGGGTGTCTATTACTGGCACCGTGGCGCTGTATCCCTGGAGCAGAAAGCTGTAGGCCTCTCATCAGGGTGGTTTTTTAAAGAGTGGTACAAGTGGCTTGGCAGTGCGTACACCTCGGGAGTTACAGCGCAGAAAGCTACTTTACTACACAGAAACTTGCCAGTGTAGACAGGGCCTTAACTGTAGGCATGGCTCCCCTGCCTCTAGTCTGGCTAGTAGACTTCAAACGGAAAATGCCACCGAGGCAAGGAGCAGAGGATGCTACTCTCTCCTCTCCCCGCTGCAGCAGTGCATGGCTCCCCTGTAAGGTCCCGCGGGGGAATGGAGCTGGGTTGGTTGGCTGGCTTCTCTCGGTGTGCGTGGCAGCTCCCCCTTCTCCCTGGGCTGGGGAGGCGGCGCTGGGTGTGCAGCAGGGCGGGGAAGACATCGCTCCTGTGGCTGGATTCACCCCACCCTCCTACCCCATAGCCTCTGCCCGAACTGAATGGGGAGCGAGAGCGGCTCCTTCCCGCAGCGCTGAGCCCTTCCCGCGCTGATTAGACAGCGTAAAGCGCCGCCGGCCTCTTTCGCTGGGCAGCAGCTGCGCCGCCCGCGCTCCCAGCCGGCATGTCCGCCGCCAGACAGCGGAGCAGCAAGGGCAGCGGCTCGGCGGGCTCGGAAAAGGGAGCCCAGTCCCACTCCGGCGGCGCGGATGACGTGGCAAAGAAGCAGCAGCAGCAGCAGGCTCCCGCCAAGGGGAGCAAAGCAGCGGCTGGAGGCCGCCCGTCCCCCTGCAGCCTGGGCAAGGCTTTTCACGCTCTCTTGTCCCTCGCGCTGGTCGGAGCCGCCGTGTTCTCGGGCTGGGGCGTGCAGCACCTCTTGGGGGAGGTCAGCCAGCTCAGCCTGCGCCACGAGGGCGCGGCGCGGCAGCGAGAGGAGCTGGCTCACGCCCTGGAGGGAGTCGTGCAGAAGGTAAGGACAAGGAGGTGCCTGGTTTCTCTCTGTCCACACCTCCCCAGCTGGCAGCGCGGTCTGGCAGGGCAGCGGCGCTCTGCGCTCACCAAGTTTTCCAGGACTCCCCAAACTTTGAAGACTCCATTGCCGTGAAGGCAGAGAGAGCGCGTGGCATTATAGCGCTAAGACAGGCCAAGCCTGGAGACAAGGCGGTGCTGGTGCTAGGCATAAGCAGGCAATGGGCTAGTCTATACTAGAAGCGCTACAGCTGCAGGGCTGTAGCACAGCTAGTGAAGACGCTCTATGCTGATGGGGAGAGCTCTCCTGGCTAAGGGCTTGTCTACACTGGCAATTTACAGTGCTGCAACTTTCTTGCTCGGGGTGCTTTCAGTGCTGTAAAGCACCAGTGTAGACAGTGCACCAGCGCTGGGAGCCGTGCCCCTTGTGGAGGTGTGGTTTTTTTTTTTTTAGAGCGGTGGGAGAGCTCAGTGCTGCGCAGTGACCACGCAAGCCACATTAAAGTGCTGCCGCGGCAGCGCGTTAGCATTGCCAGCGTAGACTAGCCCTAATAAATCAACTCTGGGGAGAGGCAGTAGCTGTGTTGGGGGCAGAGCAGCTCTCCTACCAACCTAGCACTGTCCACACTGGCGCTCAGGTTAGAGTAATGTATGTTGCTTGCGGGGTGGCTTATTCACACCCCTGAGTTAGACCGAAGTAATCTTGGATATTACTACACCATAAATAGCAGCAGAGCATGTTTTGCTTTCACTGTTTTTGACTATGCAGAGAGTGGCAGTTGAATCTGCTGCGTACTATGAAAAGCAAAAATCCCATTTGTTTTTAAAAGCAATAGAGGTAGCACCAATACTGCTGATTGGCTGCCCCCTTACTGCTTACAGTGTCTGCCAAATTCCTACATTATCTCCAGCCAAAAGGATGAGACCAGCGACTCCTGTTGCAACTGATGTCCACAGAAGTGTAATGAAGTAGTCAGCAAAGGGTGTGGCCCACTTGATCAGAGAAGTACTCTTTTCCTTGAAACTGTAGGATACTATTTTCGCTCAAACGGAATCAGCTTCTAGGCTAGGTTTTCAGGCATGGCAGTGCAATGCACTTCCCATACCTTTCAGGATGGCTTAAAATATTTCACTTTTTAAACAAACATTAGAAATACTGTCAACTTAAAATAAAAATCACACTTCTGTTAGAAAGTGTTTTACATACAGTAACACCTGAGATTATTATAACTGAAATGGATCAGAGAAAAAATAGGTCTGTTTTTTTCAGTTTGCATTTGTTCATCTGAGAGCACCCTGTCATTCCGTTTCACTGTTTCCCCTGTGTGATCATTAAGGCCTCAAACTGTAAGCTGATCCATAGGGATGAGGGGTTTCCATGTAGGTGAAGCGTCTGCCCACATAGGTCAGTGTGCAGGATAGGGGGTTTAGTTGGTCAGTTTCTTGTTTGTTTGTGTGGGTCTTTTACACAGCAACCTGGGAAAGAAAAACACCTACAATGAATATGTGATTGTAGAACTCAGTTTTTCATGTTGACTGGATTTCAAGTTCACATGGTACTGACGAGCTTGACAGGCACAACATTTTAATTTGCCTAATATTTGTTTAAAGCTATATGGGGGAAGGGAGATATTGGGATCAAAAACTGGGCATGTATGACATAGGAATATAATACATGGCCACAGTATAAGAACTTAGGTAGTTATATAATTATATATTGTATTTTCTATGGCACTCATCACTTCAGTACCTGAGCAACTCACAGACTCTAGTGAATCAGATTTGAGCATCCTTGTGAAGAAGGAAAGTATTGTTTTCTCCATTTCACAGATTGGATGCTGTGGCTCAGCCAGATTAAGTGATTTGGCCAAGGTCTCACAGACAGCCTATGGCAGAGCCAAGAACAGAAGCCAGATCTCTTGAGTCCCAGTTCATGCCATCACCACAAGCCTATTTGTCCTCTAATAGCTGACAAGGGATTTAAACTAAGAGGAGTCCTGATCTGTGAAACTCGTTGGCACACAATTCAGATCAATTTCTGTCCTCTGCTTACTCAACAGACAGGAGCTGGCTGCTGTGTGTTCTGTGTGAGCACAAAAGAGAGAGAGCCAAGAAAGTGCAACATTCAAGTTTTAGTTTTTCTTCCACACCTACCATCCCTCTCTCATCAAGCACTCACTGAAAGTAGAGTTCTTTATGTCTACACTAGAAATGCTGCAGTGGTGTCACTGTAGCATAAACACTTCAGGGATGAAAAGGGTTCTTCTGTCAACCTAGTGATGTCTACATTGGGCCTTAGGTTGGCTTAACTACGCTGCATAAGGTGTGAAATTTTTCACAGCCTGAGAAATGTAGTAAAGCTGACCGCAGGGCATGTCTTCACTAGCCACATTAAAGTGCTGCTGTGTAGTTGCGGCAGACTTCCAGCGCTATAAAAAACCCACCTCCACAAGGGGAGTAGCTACTAGCACTGGGAGCATTGTTTACACTGGCACTTTACAGTGCTGAAACTTGCAGCGCTCAGGGGTATGTTTTTTCACACCCCTGAGTGAGAAAGTTTCAGCGCTGTAAAGTGGCAGTGTAGACAAGGCGTAACTTTGTAGAGTAGACCACACCTAAGTTTCTAGACATAATCATACTATCATTTCCCTCTTGAGAAGCCTGTTACAGCCATCATTTCTCAGGGCTAATATTTTTTTCTGTAGCAACAAGACATTTTTAAGGAGTGCTTTTTCTGAAAGAGGGCAATTCAAGTTCAGGTCCTGTAACACCAGGCAGTGTCTCTTTTATGCTTCCCTTACTTATCAAAGGGAAGGCAGAGGTTATTGAAGCATCAGCATCACTCTACTAGTTTGAATACTTAGACTGGGATTTTCAAAATCTATGGGATTTGGGTGTCTAGTTCCCGTAGGTCCCTTTGAAAATCCCAGCCTTCATTTGTCCTGAGGCCTACCAAGCATAGGGATATGTCAAATGTGCTCCCTTAACCTCTAGATTGCTGTGGCCAAAATCACAAGTTAATACCAGGCTCTGAGAGAAAGGCGCACAAATGATGTTTTAAGTAATTAGTTATCCAAGGTGTGCCTACACCTTGAATACTGTGTCCAGTTTTGGTTGCCCGATCTCAAAAAGAGTATAGTGGAACTAGAAAAGGTTCAAATAAGGGCAACAAAGATAATCAAGGGTTTGGAACAGCTTCCATACAAGGAGAGAAGATTAGGGCTGTTGAGTTTAGAAACGAGCTGACTAAGGGGGGATATGATAAAGATCTAAAAAATAACGAATGCCATGGAAAAAGTGAATAAAGAAGTGTTATTTACCCTTTCCCACAATACAAAAACCAGGGGTCACCCGATGAAGTTAATAGCAGCAGGTTTAATACAAGAGGAAGTACTTTTTTCACACAGCTAACCTGTGGAACTAATTGCCTTGGGATGCTCTGATGATGAAAAGTATAACTGGGTTAAAAAAAGAACTTGGGTACATTCATAGAGGATAAGTCCATCAATGGCTATTAGCCAAGATGGTCAGGGACGCAACCATGCTCAGGGTGACCCTAAACCTCTGACTACCAGAAGTCAGGAGTGGAAGACGGGTGGATCACTTCAAAATTGCCCTGTTCTGTATGCTCCCTTTGAAGCTCTGGTACAGGCCACTGTTGGAGACAGGATGCTGGGCAAGATGGACCATGGTCTGACCCAGTATGGCTGCTCTTATATCTGTGTTCTAGTTCCAAAGGGAAATAAAACTCCACCAACATGTATGTCAGGGATGGCTAATATGAGGCATGCATTTCTAACGTAAGGATGAAAGGCAGAGGGAGGAGATCAATTCATGGCCTTATATCACTATAGGATCCTGTGCTATACAGCACTGCCAGTTCAGGCTGCCTTGAGGAAACTCTGCCCCCCCACCCTCTTTGGTCTTTTGCCATACAGAGCAATTGTCAGAAGTAAGAGTTATATAAGCTCATCTGCTATTCACAGCTGTAGGAAGGGAAGGGAAATGACGTGGAAATTTGTAGTTAGTCTTTGTAGTATAGCACAATTTACAGAGGAGCTAAGATTATTTGACATGTTAACATGACTGGTTCAAGGAGAAAACTGGTTGTCAGTAGAAGAATATTTTTCAGTCTTATATATGATATTAAGCCTTTCAAAGACTGATTGGAATCCATGCCTTCGGGGGCACAGCTAGACACACACCTCTTGATTCATTTTTTCCACAGCATTCATGATGTTATAGACATTTATGATGCCCCCACCCCCACTCATCTCTCTTCTAACCTGAACAACCCTAATCTTTTTAGCCTCTTCTTGAATGGAAGTCATTCCAAACCCTTGTTTTATAATGAATGTGAACTGTTATTTTGAAGTTAGGGTTTTATACCTTTCTTGCAAAGGGTTCATGTAGGGGCCAGCTAGCCGTTGTTTAGAGTAAATGGGCTGAATATGTATTAAGATGAATTAAATTAGGAATTGGTCTAGCTTGACTACTGTGGGCGGCTTGATTCTTTGTTACATCACAGCTCTGATCCTCAACCATGTGGCCCTGTAGTAAGTTAAAGGTGCAGGGGAACAGCTTCAATCTACATCACTTGGCATATGGTCCATCAGGGTCATTACAAGAGGAGAATCAGGCATAGTAGAGCTCCATTCTACCATGCCCTGACACACACCCTTCTCCTTATGTCAGGAAAGAGGGTGGGGATCTGTCTCATATATAGACTCACAGACTTTAAGGCCAGAAGGGACCATCGTGATCATTTAGTCTGACCTGCACATTGCAGGTCACAGAACCTTACCCAGCCACTCTTGTAATAGACCCATAACCTCTGACTGAGTTACCAAAGTCCTCAAATCATGTTTTAAAGACTTCCAGTTACAGAGAATCCTCCACTGGCCATATCTGGCATTTTATGTCTGACATGGCACATTGTGACATTAGAGAGCCAGATTCTCTGGTCCAATAACAGTAACATTTGGAGACAGGTTAGTTAATAGGATGAATTTAGCACATTAGTTTAATTTTACAGCTGTATCTCCAAGAAGAGTTGGGTGAGCAGTAGTTTCCCTGCACTATGTAAGACTTATAAACATCTGATGTGTGACATGACAACTTTAAAGAGATACAGAAAAAAATTCTGTAGTGAAAAACTCTGTATATGGTAAAATCAGACTGAAAGACAACTGGGCAGTAGCTACTCATAGAACCACATTATCAATTTAATACCCAAATTGCTATGTGGCAATGGTTAACATCATTATCCACATTTTCCCACTTAATTTCTTTCTAGTCTCATATACGATCTTCAGGGTACAAACTGCTTAAAATGTAATCCTTCCTTGAAGTCTTAAAAGTGGCCTGCAAAGGAAAGGATTCTAACACACACACACACACACACACACACACACACACACACACACACACACACACACACACACACACACACACACACACACACACACACACACACACACACACACACACACACACACACACACACACACACACACACACACACACACCCCTTTTGGTTCTTTATGATATATAAAGGAGACCTGGGACTTGTTTTTGAGGCGAGAGGGGTAAGGAGTTAAGGGCATGGGCAAGGTAGGTTTTTTCCTGCTTATTTTTCTATTAGAAATATCAGGTCTTATCCACTCTGTTTTTCCTGAACTGGAGAAGCAGTGAGATTATAACATAATCAAATTAGATTGAAACTTGAGCAGTTGAGAGGGAATTAGATATTTGAACAGGCTGTTTAAAATTTTGCTTTTTGTTAACACCCGTTTACCTCAGACACCTGACAAATGTTTGGGAGAAAGACGGTCTTTGTTAAAGATTCAAATACTCTTTATCCCTTCAACAGAAGGCGAAGAAAAGGCCCCTTGGTGCTCCAGCAAAACAAAAAATAGATATATTATTCTTGGTGTTTCTTAGGGCTTTTCTACACTACTGCTTAAGTTGATGTAACTTATGTCGCTCAGGGCTGTGAAAAAACCACCCCCGAGTGATGTAAGTTACATCGACTTAAAGTGTTGTGTACATCGTGCTATGTCAGTGGGAGACACTCTCCCGCCGACATAGCTTCCGCCTCTCGTTGAGGTGTAGTAATTACGTCTATGGGAGAGCACTCTCCCATTGATGTAGCACGTCTTCACCAGACGTGCTACATTGGTGCAGCGCGGTAGTGAAGACAAGCCCTAAGGAATAAATTTAGTAGGCTTTGAAAAAAATTGGAGGACGGGGAGAAACCTTTTACCCCTTCTCTATACATACTGAAGAAAAAAAGAATAGTAAAACCATGTTTCCTTTGCAGGTCACCTGTAAAGTTTGGGGATTACTTGGACCTATCAACAGTAGATCATTTAATGTTTGCATTGGAAACAAAATTCAAAGACTTTTGGCCAAATCCTGCGGTCCTTACTTAGCTCAGACTCCCGCTAAAACCAAGAGAGGTTCAACCAGAGCACCCAAACCTGCAAACATGTATCTGAATAACTTACTTACTCATTAGTAACTGAATTAATTAGCTAACTCGTGTGGGATGTTTTTGCAGGCTCGAGAGTTGAATGAAGACTTCAGGACTTGGCCTTTTATAGTTAAAAATAAGATATTTTCTTTTAAGTGCATCCATTTAATAATGTTATTTACAAAATGAAACCAGCTCTGAAGCAGCTTATCTCATCAATAAACCTGATAGATTGTGTGGCAGTACTGATTAATGCACGCTCCACATGTGTAGCGGGGAATGAGTCAAGACAGTGTCTCCAGGACTCCTGTAGCATGAATTATTCACCACTGCCACACAGCCAAAACCTGTCAGAGTTCTTCTGTGCAGGATCCCCACTGAAGTCGGTGTGAACTTTTGAAATCTGTGTGTGTGTGTGTGTGTGTGTGAGAGAGAGTGAGAGTGAGTGAAGTTAGTGCTTGTGGAACATGCCGCCTTCATAGACCCAAAGACTGAAATTCTGTTTATCCACAGAATGGGACCAGCCAGGCAATCGCCGTGCAAGCTTCCCCACTCATATGCCTAGATCCTTGTTCTAGGGGGGAGAGGTAGTTCAGTCTTCATGCCCAGTGATGCCTTGGGCTCTGAGCTGAGACTGCCAACAAATGTGCCAGTCATAGCCAACTGTGGAGGTAATTTTTGTGATTTGGACAGGGAGCTGGACTGAGACCATCAGCTAATACCAAACAGGCAAAGCCCTTCATATTCTCAGAAGAATTCCTGGGTTTTGAAAAAGCCACTATTTGTAGGGTGACCAGACAACAAATGTGAAAAATCGGGACGAGGGTGGGGGGTAATAGGAGCCTATATAAGAAAAAGACCCCAAAATCGGGACTGTTCCTATAAAATCGGGACATCTGGTCACCCAAACTATTTGGGTTTTACCAACTTCACTTCAATTTTGGCTTTTTCACGACCTGGGAATTTTTCAGAGAAGCTCCCCTGCTGCCCCTGGCCCGTCAGCACAGCCAGGGGGCACACAGCCCCATCTGCTCCCCTTCCTGACAGAGTCTGTACAGGACATGCTCTCGTCCTGACTCCAACCCTTTTTCAATACCAGTCTGTCCACTTTCCCTGCACAGGCTGTCTGCCCTGACAGCCAGGGTCAGGAGGGGAGCAGAAGGCTGCACCCCGTGAGCACTGGTCCCTCTATTGGACAGAGCCCACTCCAGACACTGGTTCTTCAGCGCGGCCCCTGGGCATAGAGCTCCATCTGCATCCCCTGCTGGGCATAGCTATGCTGGCATAGCCCCCTAGCGTAGATGCAGCCTATACCAACGGAAGGAGTTGTTTTCCCAATGTAGGAACACCACCGCACTGAGCAACATTAACCACTTGGCTGGAAGTATTCTTCTGTCAAGATACCTGCATCTATACGGGGGGTTTTGTCAGCCATAACTATGTCGGTCAGGGATGTGTTTTTTCACACCTCTCTCCAACACATCTATGCCAGTATAACTTTTCAGTGTAGCCCAAGCTTTTGTTTCTTTGTGCCTCAGTTTCCTATTTGATAATAGTACTTCCCAGCATCACAAGAATGCTTTGAGGGAGGGAATATTAAAGATTCTAAGGTGCTCAGATACTACAATAGTGGGGGTTATAAGTAATTTAGGTAGATAGCAACATCCTCAGCAACTAACATAAGATGAAAATTTAAGTTGCAAATATGTGGATTTCTGTTTTTAGGTGCATTCTCTTCAAGCCACATTTGGAGATTTTGAATCCATGATGAAAAGTGCTCAGCATAAACAAGAAGTTACTGAGAAGAGTGTTAAACAAGGGGAGAGTGAAATAAATCGAATCAGTGAAGTTCTTCAAAAACTACAAAATGAAATCCTGAAAGACCTGTCTGATGGCATCCATGTGGTAAAGGACGCAAGAGAACGAGACTTCATGTCGCTTGAAAACACTGTGGAAGAAAGATTAACAGAGTTGACCAGGTCTATCAATGATAACATTGCCATATTCACTGAAGTCCAGAAAAGAAGCCAAAATGAAATCAACGATATGAAAGCAAGGGTGGCTTCACTGGGAGAAATAGATGTGTATAAACATGAATTAAAGGCGCTGAAAGATGCTGTTGATGAGATGCAAACATCCATGAAAACCAAAGAAAAGGCCATAGAGTCTCTGAAAAGTACAATAGAGTCCATGGAATCTGATGTTTATACTGAAATCAAAGCATTAGTCAACCTCAAACAGGAACTTGAGAAGTTCAAAGAGACTGCAGACACAGAACACCTTTCATTAAAAGCTTTTCAAGAGAAAGTTCTTAAAGCTGAAGAATCCATTATGCAGCTCCCTGATGAGATTAAAAGACTTGATGAAGATTTACTGCAAATTAAAGCCAACCTTAACAAACAGGAAGAAAATGTACTCTCCAAAAATGTGTTAGAAACCCTTGAAAAGAACAGGGAAGACTCTGAATTCAGATTCAGACGTGTAGAAGACAATTTTCAGTCTCTAAGTTCTACTGATACTCAACAGACTGAAAAGATGGAATCACTTCTTTCTAAGCATGAAGAGTATGAAAGCAAGCTCGCTGCTCTAGAGGAAGCCATTGCATCTCTACGTAGTACCTCAGATGTTGATGTACATTCAATAACCGACACTGTGCGAAGTCTTAGTGAATCTCAGCTCTCATTATACAATGATGTTGATGAACTGAGAAGAAGTGTGAGTGACCTACCAGACTCTGCTGATGCACTTCATAACATCCAGAAACAAGTTAGTGCTTTGCTGGATCAAGAAAAGCCTCAGATGGGCCAAGCACAATCTCAAGACTATCTTGAAAAACTGTCTTCTGTAGAAGGCTCTGTAGACAAATTAAGATCTTTTGTCAATCAAGTCGAATCTGACTTGAAAATGATAAGAACTGCAGTAGATAGTTTAGTTGCTTACTCAGTGAAAATAGAAACTAATGAGAACAACGTGGAGTCTGTGAAGAGTTTGGTAGATGACCTAAGGAATGATCTGGATAGATTGTTTATGAAAGTAGAAAAGATACATGAAAAAGTTTAAGTGAACAGTGCTAATTGTGCAAGTATTGAATTTAAAAGAATAGCTTTTGTATACCCAGTGTTTTGACACCTCCAAAAAAAACAAGGACACATAATTAGAGACAGTTCTGTTTAGTTCCTGGATCGCTCTTCTGTTTAGTTTCATTTTTTAAAGTTTTGGATGGATAGGTGGGTGAGTAGGGTAAGTAGGCCTAGTCTACACTAGAAAGTTGTACTGCTTTAAGTATACTGGTATAGTCACAGCAGCACAATCTCCCTACTGTAGACATAGGCTTGGTCTGTACTTAAAATTAGATCGACCTACCTTCATCGCTCAGGGCTGTGAAAAATGTGTCCCATGCAACATAATTAGGTTGACCTAACTCCCTGTGTAGATACAGCTAGGTCAAAAGAAGAATTCTTCTGGTGACCTCGCTACCACCTCTTGTAGTTAATCCGTCTCTCCATCAACTGAAAAAAACCCTTCTGTCGTTGTAGAAAGCATCTACACTATGATGCTACAGTGGCACAGCTACAATGCATAGCTGTGCCACTGTAGCAGCTGTAGTGTAGACATGCCCATAAATATATTGATATCAAGGTGCTTTATACTGGATTAGCTATTCCCATAGTGGAAGGGGAGTAACTATATTGGCATAAGGTACCTTATACTGCTGTAACTGCATCCACACTAGGGCTTTTAGTGGTATTACTGTTTTGATTAAAACCGAACACACCCTTAATCAAAATATTTATGCTGGTAAAACTTTTACGTGTAGACTAGGCCTGAGGCAACTCATCTGTTTCTTCAGCTTATTCCACAGTGTAAGGAAAGAAGCAAGTTCTGACTGCCATGCATACATAACCGCACACAGGAGAACTCATGGAGCTGGGAGAAGTATAGGGCAACTACAGACTCTAGATCTCCAAAAAACCTGAGACAAGAGCTGCTGAGGGGTGTTCGAGGGCACTGCTAAAGAGTACACATACATTTGTGCCCATATGCCCCTTTCCCCAGCACCTCCAAACCCCCATGTACAGATTAGCATGGCTGGGAGGAGGAATCTGAATTGAAGGATGTGATTCATTGCCAGAGGGCTCAGTAACGTTTTGCCATGTTATTTTGAGATTATTTACATTGTCAGAATCTTTCCCTTGAAGTCCTAATTCCTTTTTTGTGATATCATGGTTAGTTGCTGGGGAGATGATTGGGGCTTTGAGTGAGAAAGACTGAGGAGAGAAACTAAAAACACCACCGCCTGTGCCGGCACAGCCCCCTAGTGTAGATGCAACCTACACTGACACAGGAGTTGTTCTGCCTGTGTAGGAACACCACCTCCCCCAGTGACTTTCGCTATGCCAACAGAACCTCTCTTCTATTAGCACACAAACGGGGGGTTTTGTCAGCATACCTATGTTGCTGCATGGGGGAGGGGCGTCACACCCCTGACTGACGTAGCTATGCCAGGGTATGTTTTAGGTGTAGACCAGGTCTAAGCCTGCTAATAATACCACAGGAGGAGGAAGAGAAGATTCAGAATGATACCAACAGAATTGTTTCTAAAAAAAAAAAAATGCCTTTCAAGATTGCCCTTGAGGTGACAGTGACTTTAATTAGTATTATTGTATTCTGTACCACTGGAGTCAGTGGAAGTGTGTCATTGACTTCAGTGGAGTGGAAGCAAGCCTCAGGTTGGCTGAGAACCACAATATGTGTCAAATATTAAAGAATTTCAGGCATTCTAAGAACCTCTCGAACATGGAACTTTCTGGGGGTTTGTACCCTAGAAAAGGATTTCTGATTTCTTTTCTTTCTGAGGTTTACTTTTCAGAGGTTGTTTTTCAAAGGTATTTATGCCTAGGTGCAGACCGCTCTGTACATGGGGATATCTGCTAGCCCACATTACAGAGAGTGTAATGCATGCCCTTTTTTAGTCAACTCTTTGGCTGCATTAGAAAATAATTCATAGTATTAGCACCTCCCACAAGTGGTAATTTCTGGGAACAGCAGAGGTAAAGAGGGAGTCCCCTCCAATATTTAAGAATAAAATACCCAGTCATCTGTAATGCTGTTACCACTGTACATAGTGAGAAGTTGCTAATAAGTCAACTAAGTCTTCATAAGTGAGGTGGATGCACTGCATTGAGATAATTTTGTTGTTACTTTTTGAACTGCACTGTTCTTGTTGACTTTCCTTTTCAAGTTTTTAACAGTTGTTTAGGTTACTGTGAAGTGAACTGTATGGCTTATTTACAGTATTTTTAATACATAATAAACACTTGGAATTGTATTTTTTTTTTCATGTTGCTTATTGTGAAAGATACTTAATTTAGCATTTTACAGAATATTCCCACTGAGGTTCAGGAGCTAGCTGGCGGTGGGGTGGAAAAGCCTCTCACTTGTTCATCAGAGCCTCAGCTTTAATTTCAAAACCAAAAGTAACAATCTAGCAGCTGTTATGATTGTGAAGAAAACCTTGACAATGTGGCGTGAGCATAAGTGATGCAACCATGTTTATCTGAGTTTGCAAAGAGCCTGAAACAATAGCTCTGGGTTGTGAACTGTCCCATTTATTTCAGTGAATGCTAGTTCAGATCCCAGCAATGATCTTTTAAAATGCCAGTTAACTATTTCATTGCCCAAAGCATATAAAATAGAAATATTTGTCAGTTCAGGGCAACTGTACCTGTATTCCCCCCCTATGGTCTAGCCAGGATAGCCAGTCCAGGCTCCTCAGCCATCACCTGTCTGGGGTGGATACCCAATCTCTTTTACTTCTGACCAGGGTATTTCCAGGCTGACCAGTTCCCTGCTACCCTGCTCTTTTTCTCATTAAAGAGTACCCTAAGCAGGCCAGCTTCACTTCTCCCTTCAGATGATATGCAGTATAATTGCCACAATTTTAAGTTACCACACAGTTCTTTCTAAGCAAGCAGATTTTATTTTTAAGGTAAAAGCATCACAGAGAGAACCTATTAAAAACAATAAAGAACCTACATGCATGCTGATAAACTTACCAGAGATCACCCCAACTCTGCTGTGGGCTCTGAAAGGTGAGCAGCCCTTTTCCTATGGTTTCAAATTCATAACACCCCTTGCTTAGAACAAGAACTCCTATGAATCTGTGAGTGAGTCCTTTATCCAGTTTGGGGTCTTTGAAGAGACTGGGAATAGGTAATCAGCCAGACAATGTGTCCCCTCCTCAGGGCAAAGCTTCAAACGGATGAAATCTTTGCCTAACCAGAGGGGTTATATTAGCATACCCCCCCCCACCAGAGTTTTCCTCAGAAATCCACTTAATTTTACAAGTTCACATTGTTTCCAAAAATCATTTGAAGTTCCTAACATTTCCCAAGGTTTATATTAGTTATGTTTCCTAGAGGAGTTACATGCACGTCAACAATAACACACAAACAATTGCATTTTAAATACGATGGACCCCAAAGGTATAAAACAAACCTTCAGATTTATCCAGGAGATACCCACTGTGACAAATAGAACAATGTCTACACTGCAATTAGATATCTGTGGCTGGCCAGTGCCAGCTGACACACACACTCAACCCTGTGAGCCCAAGGGGCTGGTTAATTGTGGCTGCAGCCGAAGCTTTGGGACCTCCTATACTTGAAAAGTTTGGGAAATGCTGATTTAATGTCAATTTTTTTTCCTCATAAAAAAAAACGCATAAGATGGGCCCAAAACAAACTTGTAGCACAAGCTCCCTCTGAATTTGAGGGAGTTGAGCCCAAACTAGCTGATTCCAGTCTCAGAATGAGCACAACAAAACCAAACCCCTGCAGATTCGAACACCCACTATCTTCAGGGACTCAAAATCCAGGCTAGAATTTTGCAGTTTAGGCCCACCAATGGGAAGAGCAAAAGAAGAAATTATTTGGTGTTGAGAACATTCTAGTGGTACTTTCCAGAAATCATTACTGACCATCTCAATTTGGCCTAGCTCCACAAAGGTATCTAGGCCTAAATACCTTTGTGGGTCTGTCTCTTCATCTTATTTACAGCAAGACTTTTTGGGTTTGGTAGAAGAGCTCACCAGCAGAATTGTTGCTGTTAAGAGGATGACAATTCCACTGCTTTCAGTCTTGCTGCGTTCTGTCCTAGACTGATACCACATTGGCAAAGGATTAGTAATCATTTTAAGGTCTGATATCTCATGAACCATCAGCTGTAGAAATACATGTCTTTCTATCAGAAAGACAACAGGATTTACAGGATATACTCTATTTCCAAAGTATATATGGGGACCATGTGCAACAGGTTTCAGATCCTGGCTCCCATTCTGGCTGCTTGTGCAACTCATCGTGGCCATAAAGTTGGTGGGTCAACACCCTGAGAATTCACCCTGCGTGGGAGAACTCCTTGGTAGTGCAGGGCTCCTGTACACTTGGCATGATCCTGGGCAAAGGAACTGGGGCATCCTTACATCCTGGTCATACCTGGCTGTGGGCAGCTGACCACGAGTTAGAGCAGCCCTGAGGTTGCTATAACATTCACTAAATGCAAGCCAGCAGAAAAACTCTTTCTGGGGACGTATGCTGCATCAAACTAGGTCCATGCCACCACAGCTATGCAGACATAGGCTATGTCTACACTACAGAGCCTGTCATCAGTTTTCTCTGACAGTGGCAGTCACTTGTTAATACTTTGTACCACTATAACATATTTCAGCTAGAACTCTCCAGCTGTTTTACCAGCATTAAAGCACTCCTCACAATACTCCTGAGATGGGCAAGCCATTTCATTCTACAGATGGGGAAACTGAGATGCAGACCAATTAAGTGACATAACCAAGGTTACACAATAAGTCAGTAACACTATCAGCAACTGAACCTAGGAGTCCTGACTCCCAGTGCCTTTCCATAAGCTCTAGGTCACATTGCTCCTTTCACTAGAGCCAAAAAATTCATCTGCTGTACTGGAACTACCCCAGGATCTGAAGTTCTCCATTTTCTGAGATACTACAGCTCAAAGCAGAATCCAAGAATAGTTCAAATAACTGCAGGCCTCCATACACATGTATAGTTCCATAACATTGCACTGGACACCTGAAGGGATAGAGACTGGCTAGAATATTACAGATTTTTTGATGAAGAGTTCTTTCCTGTGCAAGAGCAAAAGAAAGAACGTTCATAGACTCACATTGTTTTTAACACTGAATGTGTTAGTTGGTTTGGAGATTTACATGTAAAGAGTTGTATGAACCTTCAGACTTAGAAATTCACAAGCCAAAAGTGTCTTTTTGCCTCCAAAAACAATGAGGAGTCCTTATGGCACCTTAGAGACTAACACATTTATTTGGGCATAAGCTTTTGTGGGCTAGAACCCACTTCATCAGTTGCATGAAGTGAAAAATACAGGAGCAGGTATAAATACATGAAAGACTGGGACTTGCTTTACCAAGTGTGAGGTCAGTCTAATGAGATAAATCAATTAACAGCAGGATACCAAGGGA